TCATACATCATAATGCCTTTTTCTTTTATATGGAAATCCACCATTTTAGTATTTTTTTGTATATAAGTCTGGTAAGACTGATATAGTGGACAATAAAACTTACTAAATTCTGAACATCAGAAATGAGCCACATGAACCATAGTGTATCCTGTTGAATTTGTTTCCAACAATTCTATTTTTTTTATGAATGGACACGGGACTGGCAACTAAATGCCTTACTATTTCTCACAATATGCCACATGTGACTTAATTCTTTTCTTTCATATGTAATATAGGATAATTATAAAAGTATAAGCAGGTAATTGCTTAGAACAATAAATCAACGCCATTCTTAACTAAGTGAACAAGTTAAATTTGTTAAGCTTGAAGTGCAATTAATATGTATTTTTCAATGAAACATCTATTTAAGAAGAGGAATTCATACAAATTTTCTCATTCTTTTTCACATTTTACATTTCACATTGTCACATGTCATACACCATGCTTTTAGGAGATAGATTATTACTTGACCTATAGGAAATTGGTTTCTGGTGATGATGTAATGTTATTTCTGCACTCAACAAATACTTATTTAATGAGAAAACTAGATATTTCGCCTTGAACAAATTTTTTCCCTTCCTAAACCTTCAGTTTCCTTGTCTGTAAAATGAGTTTGTGCTGAGGGCCTTTCCAGTTCAAACATTTCATTGTTGTTGTTGTTGTTTTAAGATTTTATTTATTTATTTGACAGAGGGATCACAAGTAGGCAGACAGGCAGGCAGAGGGAGAGGGAGAAGCAGGCTTCCCGCCAAGCAGGGAGCCCGATGCGGGACTCGATCCCAGGACCCTGGGACCATGACCTAAGCTGAAGGCAGACGCTTAACGACTGAGCCACCCAGGTGCCCAGTCGACTGTATTTTTTTTTTTTAAGATTTTATTTATTTGACAGAGAGAGTCACAGCGAGAGAGGGAACACAAGCAGCAGGAGCGGGAGAGGGAGAAGCAGGCTTCCCGCTGAGCAGGGAGCCCGATGCGGGACTCGATCCCAGGACGCTGGGATCATGACCTGAGCCGAAGGCAGACGCCTAACCAACTGAGCCACCCCAAACATTTCATTGTTTCAGAACTCACAAGATAAAATAGTTTGTTTATCAGTCATTTAGAACTTTTACTTTGAAGGAAGAAAATCACTATTTTTTATTTATTTATTTTTTTAAGAGAATTTTTTTTAAAGATTTTATTTATTTATATGAGAGAGAGAGAATGAGAGAGAGCACATGAGAGGGGGGAGGGTCAGAGAGGCAGACTCCCTGCTCAGCATGGAGTGGGACTCGATCCCGGGACTCCAGGATCATGACCCGAGCCGAAGGGAGTCGCCTAACCAACTGAGCCACCCAGGTGCCCGAAAATCACTATTTATTCAGTATCCATCATATCCTGACACTGAGGCAGGCATTTTGCTTATATTACCAATGGCACAGTAACATAGGTACCGTATTCCCACATAACAGATGAAGATACAGGTCATATGACTTCAATCCATCCAACTCAAATTTCATGTGCTTTGCCTTGCACCATGCTGCCCACACACTAGTGAAAATCTGCAGCTACTTCTATGGAGGGATGATTTTTTGTGATGATAAAGAAATGGAGAGAGTGATTGTGTGATATGTCAAAAACTCTGAGAGCATTACTTTTTTTTTAATGATTAAAGAACTCTGGAATCAAAGTGACAAATGACTAAACTGAACTGTCACGAAATAGGGATGTCCAGATTCATCCAAAGGCAATGGGATGTAGAAAGTGAATGCAACTAAGTGCAAAAACAATCCTAAAAATGGGACTTGGACATTCTCTTACTGTTCATTGGGTTTAGTCGTACTCAAAGGATTAATCATGGATCTAGGTCTGATCACCTGAATTTTATAAAAATTAAATACCGATAAAAATAATTATTGTAATGAGCCCTTAACATGACAGATAAGACCTACTGCGGGCTTTCTTCATCAACCAGGGTGTTTTTCCTACTACTCCTCTGAAAGCACTTTCCCTCTCCCTGTATTTGAAGATGAGGCTGATAATGATGCTACCATTCAGGTGTCTATATTTGTTTGCAAAACAATTGTGTATTCTGCAAGCTTCCTCCATTACATACGTGGTTTTTCTCTTCAGTAGTTTTACATACTTTTTCTGAATCAATACTGGCCCTTTCCTGTTCTATCCAAAGAAGAGTCCCCCAAATGCTTTATAACTCAGTGAATGCAATTCTGCGTCTTTATCTTTGAGACTTTTTTTTTTGCCTCAAGTCCCGATGTTATACCCCATCTCGTTTTTTGTGTGTGGAAGCGTGGTCCGATGACAGATTTCATTTCCCAGAATTTATTACCTATTGTGTATTTGCTGTTCAGTCACAATGACCCCATCTGCATTTAGGTTGAATGGGGGGCCCCACCCTGACCCAATTTAATAAAAAAATAATGAGGCCACTCAAAGCTCATAGATGTGTCAGCACTATGAAAAGGGTCTATAATCAATGCAAATGTGATGTTTTCCTGCTTTGTGGAACACAGAGGTTTGACACCCATCTCTTTTGCTGGATCAAATCAGACTCCTTCTTTGCTTTGAGAATCTAATGAAAGGTATGGACTCTCCCCTCAAAAAAAAAAAAAATGCATGTGGCTGGATAATTTATTGAAATGTTAATTGGTGGGTTGTTTCATGCTCTATTTTTCCCTCCCTCCTGTTCCAAGAATGTGGTCAAGCCTCTTGAGATATGAATGGTGCCCCTGAGGTTGTACAGAGCACAACCTGCCAATCCATTCATGGGAGGCCTCCTGAAAAGTTCAGGAGCCTTTGTATACTGCCCAAGGATGGGGCTGGCTGAGTATCAGTAATGACTGAGCTTGGCTTTCCTGGCGTCCAAGGCAGAATGGGGGCTTGAGGTCAAGTTTAATTTGATTTAAAGTTTATTAAATAATGTGATATTTTTGCACCCTTGTGTGTAAAGTTCTCATCCTCTGTATCGTTGGATGTTCCCACACACCATTTTAAACAGTATATCCAAGGGTTTGTGACCCTTGCCCCCTAATCCATCCTACCCCACTCTCTGAGGTCCATAGTAAGAATTTTAACATTTATTAATCACTTACCATTGAGTCTTAACAAAGAATAATTCATGTATTTTTCATGAAGAGAAGCAAGGGTTGGAAGGTTAAATAACTTTCTGAGGGTCACACAGCTATATGGATAGAGGCAGGATTTGAATCCACAAACATGGGGTAGCAGTTAAGTTACACTGTTGCCATAAAAGCCATTGCACTAAGATGCTATCCTCAAGACTCGATTTTATTTCTCCTATCTTTCTAGGTCTCCTAAAAAATAATCCTTTAGTAATCCACAACCCTGAACCTAGTCATAATATACTCAACGCAAATCCCTATCCAGAGATCAGTCACTGTTCATACTATGGCATGTGAAAAAAGGTCCCTGCTGCATGCCATCACCTGATAGACCCAGCAGCCCGGCGCGGCCCTCACTGCCTGTTTTGCCTCTCAAGACTTGAGATTCCTTATCAGAAAGATGGGGATGGTAAAAATACCTATGATATGAGATTGTTGTGTAAATTACATAAAAAGCTGGGCACATTAATTACTTGGCCTAGAGCCTAGTACATGGTAAGAGTTCAATAAACGGCAGCCCATTATTATAATTAAGCTGCACTATTCTAATTGTGAAGACTTGCCCTCAGTTGATACTTGTTTGTTTATAAGCAGACAAGGCTGTGGGTCTTAGAGGTCTTCTGTGACTCCTTTAAGCTTGTAAATTCTTCTTTGGTACTACCAGAGTATTTTGAACTGATTTCACTGCTGTGTTTTAGATTCCATAAAAATTGTATTTTCGTGTATCTGTTTTCCCTAACTAGACTGCTAGCATCACGTTGATACTTGACATCTCAGTATCTAGGACAGGAGCAAGCACTTAGGCCAGAGCCTCCAGGGGCACCATTGATATTGTATTCATTGTAAACGGTGCCCGCCCCACCAGCTGTACCTTGCTGTGACCTGTGTATGCCCAGAATAAAATATGGCTCTAATAATAATGGTTCTGTGTGTTGGAATATTAGGCATGAAATCATATTTGAAATGGAATAGAAAAGAATAAAGTTGTGTATTTTCAAATATTTTCCCACCTCATATTAACTTTCTCCCCCCAGCTTTATTGAGATACAATTGACATGTAAGTATTAATCTCTTTCCTGATTCTCCTAAGGTGTCATTTAATTTTCTACTGTAACAGAAAACATGGAATATAGCAGCATTCCTAAAGGCAACATGCATCCAACCATCAAGTGGACTAAAGATTTTGTTAGATGTCCTTTAAGATGTGATTTAGAATTTAATATTGAGAAAAATAACATATCATTGACAAACCATAAAACTTCTTGCCTGTCCCCAGTTTGTATAAATTGAGATCATTATAAGTCAAGATTGCTAACATAAAATGTCTTCAAAGCTGGTGCATAGAACTCCTGTACCAGTCATTTAAATGAATTCTCAAAGACTTGAAAAGAATCCTGATTTCATTCAATTTTCTATTGATGTGTCTCACGGAGAGAAAGGTTGACTATTAAAAAAATAGTCAGACTTGAGGAAAGGTTTCAGAGAAAGAAAATGAAAAGCATTTAAATTTTAAAATGTAAATCAAGCTTTTAGCTTTAGAGCAGAATATCATTCAGGCCAGACTAATTTCAAATTTATGATAATTTCATTAGCTGCATTGAAGCTTTCCTTGATCCAATCTGTAAAAGAGTAGTTTGCTAATTAATAATTACAAAATATGGGAGATATTTAAGGCATTGTTTTGAAGCACTTGGCATTTGTTGCTTTCAAGCACCATTTGCTCACAAGCTGCTAATTATAATTTTAATTCATTTATTAATCTAAGTCTAACAGAATCTCTAGTAATGCTTTATTATTCATTACTAATGTTATTGTAATTACTTAAAAATTATATAAATGTATTTATGTTCAAATAACATAGTCCAGAATTTTTGAAGCAATTAAACTTCATTTGCTGGTATAGGCTTTGTGTTAGTTTTCAATTTACTCCAAAAGATTTAACAGACAACCTCTAAGTTCTTACTCTCAACTGTACAGTGAAGGATTGAACTGTTATGGAAGAAGTAACTAAATAAAACATTCTTACAAATATGTTAAAAGCCTGTCAATGATTTCTTTTTACTAAGTTGCAAAGTTTTTATCTGTCTTAAATGCATACTCATCAGATAAAATTATTTGTTTAAGCTTTCTAATGCAACAGGACATCTTTCCACTTTAATTAAAACCCTTACATGCCCACAACTGTCATCACTTACTTTTGTTTCTCAAACTGTCCATGTTAATTTCAGTGATAAAATAGTAAGTAACAGTAATTATTATAATGGATGATGTGATATAAGTTAAACACAACTTATATCAATCCATGGTTGCTTTTCAAATGGTGCTATTTTTTTTTTCCTATAAGTAGTTTTATAGACCTCACTGATCTTCCAATCTTCCTCTTAAACCTCTGACAAATCTTCTTAGAAGTCACCCTGAGACCCTTCTTTCACTTTTCTCTGGGTTTCCCTTGGGATTCCCACCTAAATTCTGTCTCTTTCCCCCTTTTATTTGCCTTTTATTTCAACTGTTGCCATAGAATCAACTGTAGCAATGATCTCCAATCAATAGCTGTCTGATTTCTCAGAAGTAGCTCAGTGCAGTAGCTCAGTGTGTCTCTGTGCTATTTATTTATATATGTAAACCAGCATAATCCCAATTTTAAATATTCAAATGCTTTATTAATTGATGCATATGTTTTTTTGCTGAGGTTTGTATTTCTTTGCATAGGATTTTGTTATTCTCAATAAACATGATCTGTTAAATGACAAATAACATAAATTCACAGAAATAAATGTTCTTTATACTCTGGTTCTAGATGACAGGTTGATCCCATGTGCAAACCTCTATCTTCCACAGTGAATATCTAGAAATAACAGAAAAGATGTGTGATCTAAAAATCTACTACCACAGAGGAAAACATGAATGGGTAACCTTAGAGGAACCCTAGAAAGATTTTAATAGAACATATAGAATTAAATATGAGGATAAAAACTACTAAAACATAAATAAGCTACTACACAAGCTACTAAAAAAAGTGTTGCTCTGGAGCCTGGTGGTTCCAGACAAAATGGAAGAAACACATTTCATTTTAGTCTTTCCACTAATCACAGTAAAAAATCTTAGAAAACTAATGAAAGACACAGAAAAATCTGGAAGGTGGAGAAAATAAGGTAGAATGGCTAGGGACCTTGGGACTTGAGGAACAACCTGACAGTAAGTTCCCTGAGTTTTTTCTTGCCTCATAAATATCCACAGCCTGAATGCTAGACAAGCCCATAATCTAGAAACACCAAGAGTCACAGACAGAAAATAGCACCAAGAAAAGTCTGCTTTCTCTAGCCAGAGGATCAGGAAAAGGGTGGTCCAACAAGACAGAAACACTTTAACCATACATCCCTGTTCCTGAGGTAAACACCAGGAAAAACACTACATGCTTCTCCCACCATAGTGGACACTACAGTCCAGAACCAGTGGGCAGAGCTCTGTTTTTTGCCCTTCCCTCTGTAATAAGGAGGAGGTGCCTCTCTCCAAAGAACCTGTGGGCAGAACTCTGACTTCCACATGCCCTTTTCAGCAACAGGTAGTGCTCTTCCCTGCAGAGTCTTAAGGAAAGCATTAGTGAACTTTAAGATAAGTCAACAAAAATTATTCAAACAAAAAAAGAAGAAGAAGAAGAAGAAAGAAAGAAAAGAAAGAAAAGAAAGAAAGAAAGAAAGAAAGAAAGAAAGAAAGAAAGAAAGAAAGAAAAGAATTTTTTAAAATAAATTGAGCCCTAGGGACCTATGGGATAATAACAAGAAATCTAACATTCATGCCATCAAAGTCCCAGGAGGAAAGCAAAAAGAATACAGGGCTGAAAAAAATATTTAGAGAAATAATGGCTAAACACTTCCCAAGCTTGATGAAAGATATAAACCTACAGATTCAAAAAGCTGAGTGGACCACAAACAAAATAAACCCAAAAAAAATCCATACCTAAATATATCATAGTCCAAATTCTGAAAACTGAAGATAAGAGAAAAACTTTTAAAAACAGTTAGAGGAAAAAAAAAAACAACAACAATATATTACCAACAGGGGACTAATGATTCAAAAACTAGCTGATTACCAATTAGAAATCATACATATGGTATGATTCCACTTTTATACCAATTTTGCAATGACGATTTTAGAAAAAGAAGGAAAACCAGCAGGTTAGGGAAAGGAAGGGTGACAGAAGGGAGGTATTGATATAAAAGGACAACATGAAGGAACCTAGCAGCAGTGTGTTGGAACTCTTCAACTTGACTATGGTGGTGGACACATGAACACATAGAGGTGATAAAATTGTGTAGTTCTTACACACCCACCCAAATGAGTACAAGTAAAACTGGGAAAATCTGAATAAAATCAATGGATTTTCTCAATGTCACTATCTTGGTGGTGATATTCTACTATAATTTTTCAAAATGTTATCATTGAGGGTAACTGGGCAATGTGTGCGAGGGCGCTCTCTGTATGGCTTCTTACCACTGCATGTGAACCTACAATTATTTCAATAAAAATTTCACTTAAAAGTCTCTGTGCTATGTGGCTAAAGCAGGGCTTAGAGGAAAATGTTTAGGACCTCTAGCCACCTCCTAATCCCTGGAACCTGTGAATGCATTATCTTACTTGGTCAAAGGGACCCTACCGATGTGATTAAGGTTAAAGACCTTGAGATGGGGAGATTATCCTGGGTTACCCAGGTTATCTCAGTCTAACCATATGAACCATAAAACAGTGAGAACCTTCCCTGGTTACAGTCACAGATATGCAACAACAGAGAAAGGAAAGAGAAATGCCAAGTTGCTGGCTTTGAAGATGAAAGGAGAGCCACAAGCCAAGGAATGCTGATGGCCTCTCAAAGGAAAAAGACTCTCCCCTAGACCTTCCAGAAAGGAATGAAGTCCTGCCTACACCATGATTTCAACCCAGGCCTCTGACATACAGAACTATAAAACAATAAATCTTTTGTTGCTTTAAGATGCTACAATCATGGTGATTTGTTACGGCAGTGATAAGAAACGAATACAAATAGTCATTACAGAAATGCAAATTAAAACCATGACCATCTACACACCTATCAGAATAGCTAAAATAAAAATTACTGACAATAGCAAACACTGGAGAGGATGCAGAGAGACTGGATCTCTCATGAATTGCTAATGGAAATGTCAAATGGTACAGCTACTCTAGGAAACAGTTTGAAAGTTTCTCAAAAACCTAAACATGTAATTATCACATGATCCAGCAATTGCACTCCTGGACATCTATCTTAAAGAAATGAAAACCTGTGTTCACACAAAAATCTATAAAGTAATATTCATTGAAGGTTTATTGGTAATAGTGCTAAGTTGGAAATAATCCATATGTCCTTCAATGGATGAATAAATAAGCCGTGGTACATCCATACTATGGAATAATTCTCAGAATTAGTAGAAACAAAATACAACTTGACGCATGCAAGAGCATTATTCTGAGTGGAGAAAAACAGTCCATCTCAAGGGGTTAAATCCCGTATGACTCCATTTGCATAACATTCTCAAAGTGACAAACTCTAGTGATGGAAAACGGATCAGTGATAGCCAGGGATTAGGGTTGCAGAAAATATGTGATCATTAAGGGATAACATGAGAGACTTTATTTGTGATGATGAAACAGTTCTGTATTCTGATTGTGATGATAGTTATTGAATCTATGTGATGAAATTTCATAGAACTAACCCCCTCCCCAAATATCCAGTATATAGCAGCAGCTTTCATAGTAGCCAAAAAGTGGAAACAACCCAAATAGCCATCAACTGATGAATGGATACACAAAATGTGGTATATGAATACAATGGAATGTTATTTGGCAATAAAAAGGAATGAAGTACTGATATGTGCTATAACATGGAAGAAAACATTAGGCAAATCTATACAGACAGAAGGTAAATTAGTGATTGCCTAGGACTGGAGGGAGGAGAAACAAGAGTGACTGCTAATGGAAGGCAGCTATGCTCACCACTATACCACCAACGCCGGCTTGAGTGACTGCTAATGGATACGGTTTCCCTTTTTGGAGGTAATGAAATGTCCTAAAATTAGATTCTGTTGATGGTTGCACAACTCTCTGAATATGGTAAAAATCATTGAATTGAAAACTTTAAATGGGCAAAATTTACGGTAAATGAATTGTATGGCATATGGTATATGAATCATATCTCAATAAAGCTTTTCTTTTTTTCTTAAAGGAGTGCCTGCAAAAACTGGTAAAATCTGAATGAGGTCCGTACCCGAGTTCATAGTATTGTAGCAACATGAGTTGCTTGGCTCTGACAATATATTGTACTGGGTGCAGGGAATACAGGGATTCCCTGTATTCTTTTGCAACAGCCTGTGAGGCTGAAACTGTTTCAAATAATTTTAAGAAAAGGATGCTGCTCCTTGCACACAGATGAAAGAAATCTGAAGTAGGAGGGAGCCCTGGGGCAGTGACAGCAAGATAACAGGGTGGCTCCAGTGGGAGTAGCCAAGTAGGTCAAGCACTCCATGCTTCTCTGTGTGTAGAGCAACAAGCAAGAGTGGCGCCCGCCTTCAGCCCGCAACAATGCATGTAGGGGCCTCTATTGAAAAGGCAGGACTAGGACCTTAGAGTAATGGTCACAGTCAGGACGAGTGAGCAGTGCCCATCTCAGAGACTGGCTACAGGTACACGGAATCAGGAGTCTCATCTGCCACAACCCCACCCCCCCTCCCAAAGTGACTGGAGGGGTCTGCCAGTCCACTGCCAGGATTCCTGAAGTGATCCTCCTGGAGGATTAATCCAGTAGCCTGGAGTAAACTGATAGACCTTTCCCATGGTGGCCTAATAGGGCGTCACAAACATAAGATACACATAGGACCATCTATCCGTTGAGCAAAGCCAGCATCACAGAAGACAGATACAAAGCATGGAAGAATGCACACAAAAGAGTTAATAGAGCACACAGCACTAGAAACACCATCATCGCTTCATTTAATACATACATTTGGTCGCTCCAATATGTCCCGGGCACTTTTTTAACTTCTGGAAATACTACGGTAAACATTACTGCAGGCAAGGTGGCTACCATCAGGGACATTCCCATTTGCTGATGGAGAAAAAAGAAACCAAATAAAATATCAAAGAGCAAAAGCAGAGTAAGTAAAGGGTGGGGGAGAAAGAAAGCAAATGTGTGTGTGAGGGCATTGCATGCCGTTTTGGCTAAGGTAGTCAGGGAATATCTCCCTGATGAAGAGGTAACCTTTGAGCACAGATCTGAATAACGTGTGCGAGCAAGCCTTATCACATCCAGGGGAGAAGGGGGCGAGCAGGGAGGAGAAACAGGTATAGGTATTGGGAGGGTTTGAAATGCTGACAACAGCAAGGAGACCAAAATGTCTGGAGCAGAATGGGCAAGGTGGGGAGAGTTCAGAGATCCACAAGAGTCTGATCATCTAGGACATTCCAGGTCATTATAAGAACTAGTGATTTTATTCAAAGCTTAATTAATACTCTGTACTGAAAGATGCAAGAGAGTATTTTAAACAGCAATTCTTTAAAAAGAATCAACTAGTAGTCATGTAAATTAAAGGCTTCGCCTTTGAAATGAATCATTCAATAGACGAGTAGAATAGCAGATAGGGCACAAAAAAGGAGCAAATTAGTAAGCTGGAGGAAAAATCCAAATATTTTTTCTTCCCCAGAATATAGGACAAACATACAATTAAAAGATGCAAAGTAAGACAAGGAAGATAGAGACTCAAAATCCCCATCCAGAAGATTCAAATTTTATCTAATACAAGTGTTAGGAGATACTATTAGAAAGTCCTTATAGGAAAAATGGAAAAGAGATGATATTCAAAACAATATAAATGTAAATATATACTTGAATAATTTCATTAATAGTCTTCAATATATAAGAAATAGCAAATTCTGCACATAATAAAGATATAAATACTTACCAAATATCCATGGATCATTACAAAATTTGACCATATACAACACAACAAGATACATAGTTAAAGGATCAAAAAAAAGTCTCAAAATGGAAGCAAGGCAAATTCTGCCCAAGAAATAAAATTTGAGGCCAATCTCCCTTAAGAACATAGAGGTAGATTCCTAAATAAATATTGGCTAATCAAATCTGACAGTGTGTTTAAACCAACAAAAAAACCCCAACCATGGGGGCGCCTGGGTGGCTCAGTCTTTAAGTGTCTGCTTTTGGCTCAGGTCATGATCTCAGGGTCCTGGGAAGCCTGCTTCTCCCTCTCCCACTCCCCCAGCTTGTGTTCCCTCTCTCGCTGTGTCTCTCACTGTCAAATAAATAAATAAAATCTTTTTTTTTTGCAGCCAGTCATGGTGCTATCTTGAGGATAGGTACCCAATTACCTGATTTATTTTTTTATTAACATATAATGTATTATTTGTTTCAGGGGTACAGGTCTGTGATTCATCAGCCTTATACAATTCACAGAGCTCACCATAGCACATACCCTCCCCAGTGTCCATCACCCAGCCACCCTATCCCTCCCACCCCCCTCCACTCTAGCAACCCTCAGTTTGCTTCCTGAGATTAAGAGTCCCTTATTGTTTGTCTCCCTCTCTGGTTTCAGCTTATTTCATTTTTCTTTCCCTTCCCCTATGATCCTCTGTCTTGTTTCTCAAATTCCTCATATCAGTGAGATCATATGATAATTGTCTTTCTCTGATTGACTTATTTCGCTTAGCATAATACCCTCTAGTTCCATCCACGTTGTTGCAAATGGCAAGATTTCAGTTGTTGATGGCTGCATAATATTCCGTTGTATATATACCACATCTTCTTTATCCATTCAACTGTGGATGGACATCTAGGCCCTTTCCATAGTTTGGCTATTGTGGACATTGCTGCCCCTTCGGATCACTAAATAAAATCTTTTTTTTTTTTTTTAAAGATTTTATTTATTTATTTGAGCCAGAGAGAATGAGAGAGAGAGAGAGAGAGAGAGCACATGAGAGGGGGTAGGGTCAGAGGGAGAAGCAGGCTCCCTGCCGAGCAGGGAGCCCGATGCGGGACTCGATCCCGGGACTCCAGGATCATGACCTGAGCTGAAGGCAGTCGCTTAACCAACTGAGCCACCCAGGCGCCCCACTAAATAAAATCTTAAAAAAAAAACAAACAAACCCAATCCTGACCTGGTAGAGTTTATCTTCGTATTTTAATTGGTCTCTGTTTTTAAAAAACATATATGTAATTTTCCACTTTAACAGGTTAAAGTTGAAACAATATAATTATGTCAAATGATATAAGTAAAACTTTGAGTAGATTTCAATATTGGTGTATAACTTACTTTTTATTTTTTCAGATACAAAAGATCTAAGGAGAGACTCCCAGGACACACCATTAAGTGAAAGGGGGAAGGACAGGGAAAGGGAAGAAGTCAAACATGGATGTGATTTCATGTGAAGTCCCGGTCTCAGCCTGCTTGGCTTTTCATAGAATGGTCAAGCTATAAGTTTTCAGTGATTCAGAAATCATTTTCTTCAGTATTTAGGTGACTGATATCAGTCTTCACTTATCCCTTCTCCAATGCTATTCCTTTCTTTATGTAGAGCTGTGTTTCTGACCTATATCCTTTTCTTTTCTCTGAAGAACTTATTTTAACATCTCTTGCATAGCAGATTTACCAACAGGGGAGAAAAAAATCCCTCGGTTTTTGTTTATCAGAGAAAGTCCTTATTTCTCCCTCCCCTTTGTTACTTTTTTTAAGTTTATTTATGTAAGTAATCTCTAAACCCAACAACCCAACGTGGGGCTCGAACTCACAACCCCTAGATCACAAGTTGCATGCTCTTCCAACTGAGCCAGTCAAACACCCCTCTCCTTCACTTTTAAAGATCAATTTTATAGGGTACAGAATTCTAGGTTGGTTGGGTGTGGAGGTGGGGAAGGTTCCCTTCTACACTTTAAATATTTTACTTCACTCTCTTCTTGCCTGCTGGTTTCTGAAAAGTCTAATGTAATTCTGTAATTTTTTTAAAAAAAAAATATTTATTTATTTATTTATTTATTTATTTATTTATTTATTTATTTGAGAGAGAGCCCTCAGTAGCTGTTTGGGTGTTGAGTTTGTTAAGTTTTTTATAGATTTTGGATACTAACCCTTTGTCAGATATGTCATTTGCAGATAACTTCTCCTATTTCAAAGGTTGCCTTTTAGTTTCATTGATTGTTTCTTCACTGTGCAGAATGTTTTTATCCTGATGAATTCCCAATAATTTACTTTTGGTTTTGTTTCCCTTGCCTCAGGAGAGGTATCTAGTAAGAAGTTTCTATGGCCGATGTTGAAGAGGTTACTTGCTGCCTGTGTTCTCTTCTAGGATTTTGATGGTTTCCCGTCTCACATTTAGGTCTTTCATCCATTTTGAATTTATTTTTGTGTATGGTGTAAGAAAGTGGTCCAGTTTCATTCTTTTGCATGTACTGTCCAGTTTTCCCAACATCATTTGCTGAAGAGACTGTCTTTTTTCTGTTGGATATTCTTTCCTGCTTTGTCAAAGATTAGTTGACCATAGAGTTGTGGGTCCATTTCTGCGTTTTCTGTTCTGTTCCATTGATCTTATGTGTCTGGTTTTGTGCCAGTACCATACTGTCTTGATGATCACAGCTTTGTAATAGAGCTGGAAGTCCGGAATTGTGATGCCGCCAGCTTTGGTTTTCTTTTTCAAGATTGCTTTGGCCACTTGAGGTCTTCTGTGCTTTCATACAAATTTTAGGATTGTTTGTTCTAGCTCTGTGAAAAATAGATGGCCTATCAAAATACCACTGACTATGGGGGGTATAGCTCAGTGGTAGAGCATTTGACTGCAAAATACCACTGACTATGTGGTTCTTAACATCCTGGACTTGTGGCTTCCAACACCCTGGGGCTGACAGACCAAAAGCCAGCCCTGTCCTCTTCAACCTCTGCCCTGGGTAACCAGTAGCTTCATTATAATATATTTATATTGTGCTTTTGACCTTCCCCCATCCCCCATGCCTCACCCTACACCCACAAGGGAAGATGGCCATGACAGGTCCGGCAAGAATGTGGCAGGGCCAAAAACTCCCCCTCGCAACCAGTACGAGGAATCCCTCAGATGATTGGAAACAACACCAGTTGGAGCCGACCCCTAGCTATGACCCATAACCTATGCAAACATGAAAAGAAAAGACACCCCTAACCCTATCCCCAGTGCAGTTGCCACCTCGGCCTGCCTGCTCTCCCAGCTTGAGAGTGCATAGTCCTTAATCAACTGCTTTGTGTCTGTCACCTTCCTTCTGGCTGTCTTTACTAGATCCTGGACCCCACATAAATCTTTCGTGGGGAATCCAAGAACTGAGACCTCAAGTCACACAATGCAGAGTCTTCCACCAATAACAATTATTGCTTCAAATATTGTTTCTGTTCCTTTCTCTTTTCCTCCAGTATTCCCACTTTGCATCTATTAGGCCCTTTATAGTTGTCCCACAGTTCTTGGATATTCTGTTTTGTTTTTTCAGTCTTTTTTCTTTTTGCTTTCCAGTTTTGGAAGTCTCTATGGTCATATCCTCAAGCTTGGAGATTTTTTCCTCACTGTGTCCAGTCCACTAATGAGTCCACCAGAAGTATTTCTCATTTCTGTTACAATGTTTTTGATCTTTAGTATTTCTTTTTGATTCTTTCTCGGATTCCCATCTTTCTGCTTACATTATCCACTGTTCTTGCATCCTGTCTACTTTTTCCATTTGCACCCTTAACATATTGATCATAGTTGTTTTAAATTTCTGGTCTGATCACTCTAACATCCTTGCCATGTCTGGTGCTTGTTTAGTCTCTTTAAAATGTGTTTTTTGGAGTACCTGGGTGGCTCAGTCAGTTGGGCGTCTGCCTTCGGCTCAGGTCATGATCCTGGGGTCCTGTGATCGAGCCCCGCATTGGGCTCCCTGCTCAGTGGGGAGTCTGCTGCTCCCTCTCCCTCTGACCCTCCCCACCCCCGCTCATGCTCTCTCTCTTTCAAATGAATAAATAAAAAATCTTTTAAAAAATTAAAAAAAAATTTTAAATGTGGTTGTCTTTCAGTATGTCTTGTAAATTTTGGCCTGATAGC